GCCTTGGTGAGGCCGCAGCTGGAGTACTGCGTCCAGTTTTGGGCTCCACAATTCAAAAAGGATGTGGAGAAGCTTGAGAGAGTCCAGAGAAGAGCCACGTGCATGATCAGAGGTCAGGAAAACAGACCTTACGACGACAGGCTGAGAGCCATGGGACTCTTTAGCCTGAAAAGGCGCAGGCTCAGGGGAGATCTGATGGCCACCTATAAGTTTATTAGGGGTGACCACCAGGATCTGGGGGAATGTTTGTTCACCAGAGCGCCCCAAGGGATGACGAGGTCAAACAGTTATAAACTACTGCGAGACCGTTTCAGGCTGGACATGAGGAAGAATTTCTTTACTGTCTGAGCCCCCAAGGTCTGGAACAGCCTGCCATCGGAGGTGGTTCGAGCACCTACATTGAACACCTTCAGGAGCAAATTGGATGCTTATCTTGCTGGGATCCTATGACCCCAGCTGACTTCCTGCCCTTCAGGTGGAGGGCTGGACCCGATGAACTTCCAAGGTCCCTTCCAGCCCTAATGTCTATGAAATCTATGAAATCTTCTGGTGTGTTTTGACAGGTGCTTTTATTGTTTGAGATTTGATTAAACAGCTCTTTTGCTAGGACAGTGCAAATGCCTAGTCTGTATGGCAGCTGAGCATGGTGTGGAGTGTCATGAGAAAAAGTTAGGAGGGATTATAAACATAGCCCCTGTACTGGATAGCTTGTGGCTTAGGTGTGTTTGTGCCTATGGATCTTAATGAGATTATTGATTTCAGCCTCTGTGGCTTGTCCTGTTTCTCTTCCTCTTCAGAAAACACGCCTTGTCTGTTGTGTTGTAAGCGTCCTTGGGAGTAGCCATGGGTCATGTCATGTCTCCTCTGATGGCAAAGTCTAGGGAAGGTTTTGGGGGAGGAAAAACCCATGTCTTTCCCCTTTCAAGTGTTCCTCTCTCTGTCCCTCTGTGCTTGAAGGGCCATCAGAGAAGTTGACTCCTTCCTTGAGAAAGTTGATGGGGATGTAGTGGAAGAGTAGACCCTTCTTTGGTGTCCCAATACTGCAGGCTCCACATGTCTTTATGAGGTGGAGAAGGGTCTCCAGTGAGTGGGTGGGTCATGCAGCTTGTCACTACAGTGCCTTTTCAGTGGAGTACCTGCTGGGTGTTGAGAATAGCTTGCTCCACCACCCTGGTGGCACAGGCTGCCAGTGGGGTCCCGGGCAAGTGAGGATGAAGCTATAGCGATGCGACTCTTTCACCTAATGGGCTAGGGGCACAACCTCATCCTGTTTAATGCTGAACTATGTGTCCTTGTTTCAGCACTTAGCTAGTGCTCAGGCTCTGGGGAACGGAGGTTCTGGTGAGTCAAACAGGCTAATGGAGTCCTTGAGTACCTTCATGCCCTCTTTCCCCTGGGACACGGCAGCTCCTCCCACTCTGTTCTCACCCCAGGGCTTCTAGTGAGTCACCTCCACTCCACACGAGTCCCAGAGCAGCCTGCCCCTTGCATACTACAATGAGGATGCTGGCTGAGACTCTCCAAGGTATTGCTAATTTGAAACAAAGAAACAAACACATTTCTCGCTCCCCTGTCTACTTCCCCAGTACCCACCAGAATTACCACCTCTTCCTCTTGTGGCCCACGGGCCCCATGGCAGGTGCCTCAGCTGCTCACATTGAAGATCTGTTTCCCTTTTATGCCACGATTTGCTTTCCTGTTGAGATAACCAAGGTTGCACTGGTTTTTGTGGATACGCTGATATCAGGCCTGATCTTGCAGGTGCCCTGAAGGTCAGGAAGTCAAGACTGAGCCCTTAAAACTTCCACAGCTGTGGCCAAATTTCCAAGGAGCTCCTTCCCCGAGTCCCCTTCCCCATGGGTGCTTCTGGATACTGAGCACTCTGACACCGGCTGCTGATCAAGGGGCTGCAACTGGAGCTGAGCTCCCTTGAAAACCTGGCCCTGACTACAGATATGAGCCCTTTCCTTTTTAAAGTGCTAGAACCCAGCTACCTGCGCTGAAGTCATCAGATGCATGAGATGCTCCCTATCTCTCGAATCAGGCCTATGAACACTATGGGCTAAAACCTTTTGGTGACTTTAAAATATCCCTCTTCTGTGGGTAGGGCTGTGGCATGACATGCATTGTTTCTCCCTGAGCTGCATTTGTGTGCTATATTTGTTTTTTTGCCACTCTGTAAAATATTTATGGCTGCGTGGTTGTAGCTGACAAGCGTGAGTACTGGAGCCTGCAGGCATTTTTCCTGCCAAAATCTCTAGTTGGCTTTGATCAGGACTTTCTGAATGGGAAAACGTGAAGAGTCCAGCACCTTGCAGGGCAGATAATGTATTTGGCACAGTGGGCATTGTCCTGCAAAAAAAGAATGATGTCACAGTGCAAGAAGGTTCCAGAAGCTTGTGATTCCTGGTGTCAGCGGGGGAGCAGGTCTCCAAACCAAGTCACAGTGGCAAGGGAGCTGTAAGGCCCATGTCTGAGTGTCATGCTGCTTGCAGACCTAGGATAGACTCAGTCTTCTTGGCCCTTCTCAGTCAAAGTCTGTGAGAAGGTGCAGGCGTGTCCTCCATTTCTTTGACCTGTATCAGCAAGGATCTCTGCCATCCCCTTTCTGCTGAGAATTTGTCTCCATCATCCCAGATGGCTGAGGTGAGCATATGAGGGACTGACAGACAGGCAAGGAAAGACAAGTGATGTCTGTGCTGTGGAGAAATCGGGAGTTAAGAGCTGTACATGGTAGGGGAGGACTCTGCTTCTCCCCTCTGCAGGCCCATGCAGAGTCATTAAACACTGACTTCACCTACGCAGGGGAAATCGATGTCTCAGCAGCCGTAGAGGTCCACCAGCAATATCAATTTGGATACGTTAACCTTGTCTACACTATTGGTAGCAAGGCACTACTGCATCATTGCCAGAAAACACCTGCTCGTTTCCCAGCGTAAACCCACCGGAGGCATGAGGCAGCATTGACAATGAAGCCAAAATTCTCCAACTTTGCAGGTTTCTATTCCTGGGTATCATCTTGACAACTTGCATCTGATCTTCAGATCAGCTGCTGAGACAAAGTAGTTAGCACTAAATTCCAGCAAGTAAGAAATCAAGTGAAGATGAACTAGAACCTCTTTTATGGCATAGAAAATGATATCTATGTGGGAATACAATTGCTGAGTTCAAGTGAGGCCAGTTGCCTGATTTGGGGCATCATCTTATGGAAAAGGGTCAGAATACCATGCAAGAAACATTGGATGGCCTTGAGTAGTAGAAAGCATGTGGTCATGCACTTAGGAACTAATAACAGGAATGGCTGCAACAAGCAGGGAGGTCCACAGTTGGAAATGGCTGAGATAGGGAAGGACTTGGGTGTACTAGCTAGTAAGGAGACGGCTGAGCCGCCAGTGTTAGGCAGCCACGAAAAACCAGACATGAGCCCAGGAACGTATCAGACAGGGCATTTCCAGTTCTGTCAGAAAAGTACTCTTGTACCCAGATCTGGTGAGACTTTGTCTAGAGTACTGTGTATGCTTCTGGTCAGCTGATGCACTCAGACTAGAGCAAGTGCAGAGAAGGACTCCTAGGATTATTGGGGAAATAGGAAAACTAGAAGAGATGGGCTTGTTTAGCTTATCAGTAGGAAGGCTGAGAGGGGATATCTGTAAATACATCTGGGTGTAAACACCAGGGAAGCAGAAGGGCTCTTTGAGTTGTCGGGTAATGTTGGTACCAGAACGAGTGGGTATAAAACTCAGCAGGAACAACTTTAGGTTGGAAATTAGAAGCAGGTTTCTGACCCTCAGAGCAGAGAGATTTTGAAGCATCCTGCTTGTGGGAGAATTGGGGGCAAAAAATCTGTTTCCACATCAGCACTTAATTGGCTTATGTCGGGGATCATGTGAGATGGTTTATGATGGCAGGAGACAGGACCACGTGACCTATGAGGTCCCATCAGGTGTGGGGTCTGTGAGGGACCCCTCCCTCGCTGCTGAGGCAGGGCTAAGGTTAGCTCCAGGCTTCCAAATGAAAGCTACCCGTCTTGGCTATATATGAGTTATGTCTAACCCTCCAAACTCACATTTGCTGTTCTTACTTTCTGACATCAATCATCAACAGCAAATACGATGGGCTGGGGGAGATGCTGAACTGGTGTGCTATGTAGATAGCTTTGAGATTAAAAGGAGAGACATTTGGCTAGGAGTAAATGGGCTACATGGGTGATTCTTGTCTTCCAAGATGACCCCGAGAATTGTAATCTCATTGTAGGCCATTTATGGATTCATATTCACCTGACTTTTCCTCTTCCTGCCGCTGTTCCAGATGATGGCTATCAGCACCCAAAAGTTCAATGTGTTTGTATCTGAGCCAATGGGTGACAAGGATATTACAAAAGTAGATGGGATTAATGATGAGCTCGGAATGAAATTAGCTGCAAAAGGCTTTAACAAGGTAATCTCCCTTCTTCCTTACCAGGCTCCTTTTATTTCCCTTTTTTCTTTTCTTTTTCTTTTCTTTTTTTTACTCAGTGAGTACCATGGGATTATTTCATTAAAGAGGTGTTGTCTGTAACTTGTGATCAAGCATCTCCTGCTAAGAGCATTTCAGCACAATATATTAATCTGAAATGTGGAGTGCAGTTCCACTGAATTATTCAAAGGAATTGATGCTAAATGTTACACAAAGGGACAAAGTCAAATACCTTGGGTCCTAAAATTGATGCAGTTTGACAGTTACTCCATCTTCAAGGTCTACCCAGTAATGTTCCAACCATGCCTTTCGGGCGTTTTCAACCACTTGTCATTGTTGTTGCAGAATTTGTTTGTTTAAAGGCCAAGAGGACTTCCCATGGGGGAGAAGGAGGTGGTTTGGAAGCTGTGTTTATGGAATTGAAAATTCAAAGCCTACAGTTCTTGTGATGAGGCTGGTAGCAGCCACAGTAAAGAGGGTTAAGATACTAAAGTTACAGGACCAGTTTGGGAAATTCCACTGATGGATAAGCTGGACCCTGTGAGGCAGCATAGGCTTTTACTGTCCTACTCCCTATCCTTGGATGCCCTTAAGCCATCTCCCACATGGAAAACAATTATATCACTCCTACTCCCATTTATCTTGGGTGTTGAAAGGCTGGTCAATAGAAAGGGACATGGGAAGCTCTCTGGCAGGGTTTTAAGAGCAGAGTCATTTCCACCTACCTGTATTTGTGATCATTTGAGTGGTTAATATGTACCGTGGGCACAACCGTATGTGTGGTGAGCTGGGTGGTTAATACAAAATAGACTGTGGTCACCATGTGCAGGCCATGTCTCTTCCTAGTACATGCCGCTACCATGTACCATTCTGAGCTCCTCCTGCTCAGTCTGCACTGAACTGGAGTACTAATGGGCAGGTGGCAGAGTCCTTGAAAAAGTCTTTTAGGTGACAATGTCAGTCAAGGCAGGTCAGTGTGTAAACACCACAGCTGCAAGGCTCTCACAAACTAGAATTTCAAGCGACAATCCATTCACGACACAGCAAACTGAATGAGGAATTGTTTCTAGCTTTGACTCATGCCCTGCATAAAGTCACAGCAGAAACTGGCCCAGTGTTTCCTGGAGTATTGCAAGGATGGTGTAAACCTGCAGAAGTTTGGCATCATGAAACAAGCCCCTTTTAAGGGAATCAGGGCATGAAGTTGCATGAAACTTAGTAACTTCATGGATGCTTATGGAGCTGGGAAATAATAGGAGAAGCTTTTGGCACTGTGGAAAGGGAATCTGTTGTCAGCTCGTACCAGAGGAAACGAAACACTTTGACTACTAAGTCTTGGTGATCTTGTTCCTCTTGGTCTACAGATCTCAGCCCCATTTTATAAATGGACAATTCTCTTTACATAGGCAGTGCCCAGCAAAATAGTTACTCCTTTTGACCCGCACAGTGAGCGGAAATGAAGGGTCTCATGGGCTCTTCTGGTGTGGAGAAGAACTTTACAGTGGAATTGGGTTCTTTCTGATGCAACCCTGTCTTGTTACAAAGAATATGTGAAGTCCCATTTCCTTGAGCCACAGGAGTAAAAATGCAGATGAGACCTTCCTTGACTGCAGTGAGCACCTTTCAAAGCAGCCAGCTGCTGTGTGTCGTACAGGTTAATTGGGTGCCTGGCTCAGTGGTTGGGATCAGGGGGCAAAAATACTAGCTTGTGCTGTTCCCTTCTTCCTTGCAGGCATACATCCTTCTGGGCCAGTTCCTCTTGTTGAAAAAGGACTCTGCAGTTTTCCAGAGATGGCTGAAAGGGACTTATGGAGCCAGTCCCACTGAGGCTCAGCGGTGTGCTTCCTGCCTGTTGGAGTGGTGCGGTTCCTTCCTGTAAAGACCTGCCCACTAAGCCTTGATGGTAGACTTAGCAGGACTCTTCCAAGGGCTGAAATAAAGCAGCTCTTGAATGAATTGTACAGCCCAAATGGCTTATATTTGGATAGTTTCTGCTGTCCCCAATCCTGTAAATGCTTGTGTGCAGGGACTGAGCTTGTTCTTGGGCAAAGCAGGTCACATGCTGCCTTTAGGGAGCTCTGTGAATCCTCACTGTATCTATGACCAGAGTCCTAGCATGGTGCAAATAGGGAAATCTGGAACATCCTGATTTTAGGTGAACTGTTAACTAAAATCCTGGTTCAGCAAGGTACATAAGCAGATGCTTAACTTGAACTGCAGGACTGGTGCTGCTGCCCTTGGGCATCTAGGCCTCATGCTTTAGTTTAGAGAAGCGTTTTAATTCCCTGCAAATCTGGGCTTAAAAGGCAGGATGTTTTTCTGGTTCAAGCACTAGGGTGGGACTCAAGACATGGGTTTTGTTCCTAGTTCTGCCCTGGATTTCTTGTATGACCTTGGACATACTACTTAGCCTGACACTGTCCAAAATGACAACCAACTGTGGCTTCTGATACATAGGACTTGCTTTTGCAGAGGTGCTGAGTATTTATGACTACTGCTGGCCTCTTCTGCAAATAAGATGCAGAACAGTCCCCTGGTAGCCTGGGCTTTAATCTATTTGCATCTTGGCTTTCTCCACTGTAGGAGGGTGGGTAGTCCCTGCTGCTGAGGAAGGTGCTATGTAGATTCATTGTTATAAATGTTTGTCAAGGGATTTCAGATCTGCCCATGGAAACCAGAGGAAATACAACCTCTAAGCACCCTGGCCCTGTACTGGTTTGATTAACCAAACTTTATACTGCTCCTGGACTGGTGAAGAATGGGAAAACAGGAGGATGGCTTGAGCAGCATAATAGCCCTATGTCACACCAGCACTAGGCATGCAAGAGTGACGGAAGCCAGAGTATGCTGCATTCCAGCTAGCCTGGGCTGGCAGAGCAGTCCATATCCAGCTGTGGGAAGTTGCTGTAATCTAGAGCAGCGTTTCTCAACCCAGGGGTTGTGACCCAAAAGTGGGTTGCAAGAATATATGAATGGGCCGTGAACAAACTTTAAAAATGGATCATATTTTGCATACATTTTTGAAAAAATAGATGCTGCTTGTGCTTCACCATATGTTAACCTGTGCATACTAATAAACAGGGATCCAGGTTTTCCATTTGCCATGGAAAAACGTGGATTTTCTCCTTTAAAGAGCTGCAGTAGAGCTGTGGCCTGATGAACAAGCAGGTGGCAGAGAGAGGAGGCAAGGGCAATGCAGCTGCTGCACCCCTGCCTCTGTCCATTACTCCTCATGCTGCTGGTGGTGCAGCTGGTGTGGGGTTCTGCGTGGCAGCAGCAGCAGCAGCAACAAGTCTCTCTGCTCTGCTCTGCCTTCCCATACCTGCTGGGCCATGGAGGTGGCTCCTGTCCATGCCAGGACCAGCCAGGCTGCAGCCCCATGCCCACTGTGGGCACACAAATCTGGGAGGGCATGTGCCCCCCTGCCCCACACACTGGGGGGGCTGGGGCCTGGGGAAAACAGGTTGGGAGTGAAAGGCACCAGCAGAGCTGGGGAATCGGGGGTTGTGGTTTGGATGGGAGTGAAGGACACTGGTAAGGCCAGCGGGCTCTTTTCTAGCTAAACTATTTACTGGGCTTGGACTAGCTCTCTGTTTACAAATGGGTCCTGGTACAAAAAAAGGTTGACACCCACTGGTCTAGATCAGCCTCAAGGCTTTACACTAGTTGAGCCCAGAATTTGGCATTTTAATTTTCTTTACCCCCAGCTGTGCCATTTGTGGGTGAAGAGGGGATTCCCGAAAGATTTCGGGATTCCCTCTCTCCCTCTCATGTATTCACTCAACCATACTTATGTGCTTTGTTTCCCTCTGGCATCCTTTCCCATACTGCTTCATGGGACAAATGACTGGCATTCTGGAGTGACTCAGTAAAAAAAAAAAGCATCGTTGTGATTCCACATTGTGTGTCTGCCTGCAGTTCAGCTGTGTTCACTTCACATGTAAAAAACTGAGGTGTGTTTTCCCACGTGTCATTCCACCAAACTCTGCTTGGGCTCAGAATATAACTGGATTACTTCTTGGTGCTGGTGATGTGTACTAAAGATTGTAGTGTATAGGGATGTCAGTGAGAGGGTGTCATCAACTACCATCCAGGAATCTTGTGTCCTTAATCAGCTCAGGCATGCTGTGAGTGAGTCTGCTATGAACACTTATACTTTTTTGCCATCATATTCTGCCCAGGAAGGCACATAAATAAATCTGTGGGTGTCCCTGAAATGTAATGTATTAGGGTTCTGCTGCTGCTGCTGCTGCTGCTGCGTAAAAACTAACAAATTCCAGCTGGTTCCCTGGTAGAGTTAGCAAGACCCTGAATGCAGGTAATCAGTTGGGTAAAGATGATGCTATTTTTCACATCCACGGACTCTCAGGTCTTTGTTCCTGAAAATGTGGCAAGTTGCATGTCCATTTTGCATAGACAGTATTAGAAGTTTGAAATCCCACAAGAGGGAAGAGCCTTTTAACCTTTGCCAGAAAACCCATCACCAAAGTGCAGATGCCTGGCCTCTTTCCACTAGGCTAGGGACAGACATTACACATAAACCAGTTTAAGTGATCAGAAACTGGTTTAAGCCTGTAACAGAACAGAGATTCAGCGCACATAAAGCAGTTTGAAAATGATTGAAACTGATTTGAGATAAACCTGGTTGAATGTAGTATCAGACTTAACTGATTTGGGTCAAACTGGTTTATGTAATGTCTGTCCCAGACCCCTTCCTAGTTAAACTTAAACCAGAGTCCTTCAGCATCCCGGATGCTTTGCAGCCATGGGAAAGGCTCTTAGCTCCACAGCAGAGCTGGCCCCTCCCCTCTGCTCCCTGGCTGGAGCTCCAGTGGAGACTTGCAGGCACAGCAGGGTCTGCCTGCTTCCCCCTGCCCCATACCCCCCTTCACCACTCGCTGCTTAAGCAGGGATTCCCCCCTCCCCTCTCCCAGAGCACAGACCATAGCCAGCATGTGGTATGCTAGCTAATGCTGAGAGGTGTCTGTGTAAGGCAGACAGGACCGTGCCAGCTTAGGGCTTTTTGGAGCTAATCAACAGGTAGCTGGTAGTGTTCCTCCATTCCTTCCTTGGAAAAAATGTTTAAGAGCCGGAACTAATGAGAGAGACTTTTGTTTTGCTCATGGGCTGATAAATGGGCTGTGTTAACTCCCTGATGTGTAAGTAAATGCTGTGTAACTCCCTGCTGGCTCTGTCACTGGAGCAGCGAAGGGGGGGAACCCCTCCCTAATCAGAGCGTCCTGCCGTGGCCTGGCCATGCCCTCCCCACCACCACTCAGCACCATGGAAGGGTAGGAAGGGCTGCTCTAGCACCCCCCGGCTTCTTGTCCAACCCACTGCAGACATGTGCCTGCATTTCTTCAACCCAGAGGGGATGTCTGTATGGTTACAAACTGGTTCAGCCTAGCCAGGTTAGACTAACCTGCAAAGATTGAATCAATTCAGGCTCAAGCTTTTTGAATGTCTGTCTTTAGCCCTACTGTGCATGTTCCTGGAGCACTGACTCAGGTCAATGATCCTGGCTTCTATGAAGTGGAATAGCTGCTATAGCCTAGAGTGCTGTTTTCGTAGAGGACACAGCTTTAAACACCTTGAACTAAAAGTAGGTTTCCTTGCCAGACATCTCAGGTATTGACGCAAGCTCTGCTCCATGCATGAATAAAAAGCAAGATTCTGGCTTTGTCTTCAGTAACTCTATATCCCAGTAGCGTCTGTGTGAAAGAAAATAGCCAAGAATCATTGGGCTTCATCTCAGAACACCTCTTCCTTTTAAAAGACATCTTCATTTCATGTGTCCTTACTGGGTTACAGCAGGACTTCCAGATTTGAGGTTTCCTTTGAAAATTCTGTGCTCAGAGGCCAGAGGAAAGTAAGACAATTGTCCACTGGAGAACTCATTTTTCCAGAAGCATAATAAAGCAGCTCTACGGCCTGGACAGTGGCAGCCCACAGGGCAGGGCTGGCTACCACCAGCAGTGGTGTAAACAGCTGCCAGCTGTGGTGGCAGTTATTTTTTCCCCTCCCTTTCTCCCCACGATAGCAGCGTCTGGGGATGCTGCCCTGGTCAGCTTCCTCCCCCCCCCACCAATTAGGCTACTGCATTTTTCTCTATAACTTGCATCACTGGTGCATTTCCAAGAGGGAAAAAGCAAAAGCCTGGAGCTCACGGATGACTAGCAGAAAAAACTTTTGCCATCCTGAATGCCAGGACCTATGTCTTTTGGGGTAATGGACATCTTCTCAGGAGGGTGACCTGACTGTTTTTTGCAAGCCTACCATAGACTGTGTGATAACTGGTCTGTTCCTTCATGGTATCATTTTATGCCGTTGCAACAGAAAAGTGGCTAAGTGTCAGCGGCCACTCTAGTTAATAAACCCGCCGAGGGCAAATCTGGCCTCACTCTAAGCAGGCCTAGTTCTGAAAGCCCTAGTCTTGTGGCCACTTGTGCCAGGGATGAATCTAGCCTCAGAAGGCCAAATACAGCAGGGACAAATATGAAGACAAGTCTTGTGATGAAAGCATTTAGCAGAAACACAGGAGACCCATTTCCAGCTCCAATACGGACTCTGTGACTTGGGACTTCATCTCTTTGTGCCTTCATTCCCTGTCTGTAAAAGGAGGTTGTAGAGATTTCCTTTCTTCTATGCTTTGCCTTCAAACTCAGACATCATAGCATCCCCAAGGAGAAGAATTTAGGCTGCTTTGCTAAAGGAGTGATGAGGAGGGAGACAAAAAAAAGTAGGCGCAAATCTAACTGCTTCTGTAGGTGGGTAAATAGCACGTATGTGGCTAATATTAGCCACACAGGTGGCATTTAAGGCAATTACACAGATTCTAGATCCTGCTTTCCCCCTGTACAACTCTGTACATGCTTTGACCTGTTCTCGGCACTTATGCTCTATAGTGATGCTATTACCTCTGCTCCACCCTCCCAGAGGTTAGCCACAGGAAAACCACAGCTAGCAACTGAACGGAGAAAGATCTGCTCCTGCCCCAGTATTGTCCCTCCATTTTCTCTCATCAGTATTTC